CACTCACTTTCAATCACTTCAGTCTAGTTCAATTCTCTGTGTAGCACTAATCACCACTTAATATTTTCTAATTTATTTATTTAAGTCATCCCTCTCACCACTAGAACATAAGCCCAATGAGAAGAGAGACTCTTTCTTGTGTTCGTTGCTGAACCTCCAGTGCCTGGAGAGTACCTGGCACACTTAGGTATTAAATAAACATTTATTGAGAGGATAATTCAATACATGTTTATTAAATGTAGCTAACTGATGCTCAGAACTAGTGATGCAGCAATAACTTAGGGGAAATACCTATCTTCATGGAGTTCATGAGTGGAAGATAAGAAAAATCAAGGACTACTGTAGGATTGATAGAGGAGAGCAGTGCTATGGCAGCAGAGGAAGGAAAACTACTTTTCCTCGTGTGTGTGTGGTGAGTGTTAGACAAGAATGCCATCACAGAGAAGATAATGACTCTTAAAGGATAAGGAATATGTTTCTAAGCAGACTAGTGGCAATAGTGCTGGTGGCAAGCATTTATGTCAAAATAAGTAGAATTTTATAAGATAAAGACTTTGAAGGGCATGGAGCACCCTGGGATCTTCAAGTTATTTGGTGAGTTAGGCACTTGGGAGGAAGAGCAGTTGGTGAGGTTGACACAAGTGAGGGACAGATATAATGGTCTTCTATGACATATTGTGAGAAGTCATTAGGAACCATTGAGTCAATGTTATTTGATCATACTTGTATTTTAGAAAATTACTCTGGCTAACACGTGGAGGGTTAATTAGATGGAGAGAAAGGCTAGAGATAGAGAGATTGGTTAATAGGCCATTCCAATAATTCCATGAAGCATAATAAAAGCCTTAATTTCTGAAACATAAGAAGGATGAAGAGGAGAAAACAGACTTGAAAGACAGGAAGCAGAAGAAAGGGTCTGACCAATCGTCTGGGGCAGTGAGGAAGGAGTCTATGATTTATACCAGTTTCTGACATGCATGACCATGGGTAAATATTTACCCTTGTAAAGCTTTCATGGCTTTTAAAATTATTTAGAAATTCTTGGTTAAAGGGACAGTGTATAATGTAGCTTCAGATTCTCTCTTGATGTGCTACTTTGTACATGGCACTAAAATATATCAGGTTGTGCATCATAAATAATCACAAATAATACATACTTTCAAAAGTGCACAGAATTCTCACTTGAGGTGGGACCCTGAATGTCATGATAATTATCCTTTGATGGTGGATTAGTTTATGACTTTTGTATTAATTTCAATTCTACTCCAAAGCTATGATTTATTTATATTGGCTATGGGATCTAGAGTCCCAGATTAATTACTGTATCCTTTAGTTACTATGACCACTTAGGAACTTCATAACTAACTTGCTGCAGGTGGAGATATTCCGAAAATAGTAAATGTTGCAATCAGTTCACTTTGGCTCAATACATTTCCCTCAGGATTAATTTTCAAACTTTGAACTTAAAATTGAATTCCTTAGGGCATTTAACTATAATAATAAAGCACAAATTAGTTGGGTTTTTTAAAAAATGGAAGTTTTAGATATTTATTCTTACTCTTAAAATGGACATCAAATATAAGGGCTTAAACTATGTGAGTTTAAAACAGATTGAATAAAATACTTTCATGTTTATATACCAAATAAGAGACTCACTTCTTAGATATCTATGCCTCAGTATAGAAATAAATTTAACCTCTTTAAAAAAATTCCTATTCAGTTTTTTTTTAGAGTAAAATTTATTCATTTTGGCACAGGAAATGTAGGAAATGAAGAACAGTAGAGTGTTAAAGAAAATGTCCCCTAAGCTATCACACAAATTAATTAGTATTTGCTATTTGGAGTATTTTCTTTCAGGCTTTGAAAAATTTTTCAAGTGAGAGATAAGTATGAATGAATTAAGAAGTTTTCAAAATCTCTTTTCTAAATATTTAGTTTCCTATTTACCCTTGTAGGCTTTCCTTTGTATACAAGTGAAAGAACCTTCCACTTCTCATTTGAACATGACTTTCCCTTTCTTCCAGGCCTCCACTGTATAAGCTGAATGGGATGGAGGTCTTCTCAAAATAAATATGACCATCCTGAACATTTTAAAATGCTTGGCTGAACTCAGGTACTGCTGCTTGAATCCAATCTTTACCAGGATCTCAAAACCATGTACATGAGTAGAAAAAAAGTATTAACATAAACAATATCAACTTAGCCTTTTAGTGTATAGGATAGAAGCTTATGTTTAAAGAACTGTTTTCCAACAGATTTTGGGTCATCGTCTGACAGTCAGCTCTCTCAGACCTATAGTGAGAAGGGTGAAAACTGGGGGGAAATCATAGAGGGAAAAGACATTCAAGAAGTCAGACATTGATTTGATAACTGGCAAGGACTTAGATAACTTAATATTTTCCAACTATCCCAAAATTGCATGAGAACATCTAGTAAATGAGAGCAGTTTAGTAAACCGGATTCATCAATGAATTCAAACAGATCTCTTTGGGTGTAGGGTCTGGACCTGCAAGCAAAAGACAATAGGATTTAAAAAATGGGCAGTTCCAAGGGAAAAATAAAAATCAAAATAGAATTTGAGGAAGAAGTAATCAAAATAGGGCTTTTCTGATTACAAAGTATTGCACAGACAGATTTATCTGCAATTCCTTATCGGGCCATTCTCTTTTCATACCAGCTGGTTTACAAGTGTTTCCATAACTGCTGCCCTCACGGGCCTTTGACACCAAACTCATCGACAAATATTGGCCATGCCCACTATGTTTAGATGTTTTGCATAAACAACACCTGAATGGAGTTCTTTAACCCACGGATTTAATAACATAGGTATTATTGATAACAGAGATAACAAAACCAATTTTATGGGTAAACAAAACACAGCTTTATATACCCTTTATTTAGGAATGCAAAGACATAATTAATATAATCTGTATTTTCTGTGGTCTTATTTAATCATCAGTTCCTTCTCATTAGGGATTGTTAGACTCATCAGGTGATGAAGAGCCCAAGGCAGATTCTTGGTCCTTTTCATGGTTCGTTTTTACATCATTCTGTGTTTTTGTCTACTTTTTCTTATTTTTGGGTTTCTCAGATATCCTGTGAACTGGATTCAGGGGCTCTAAGGCTTGTTCTGCCTTTCATCAGGGCCTTACGTCCTGCCATGGGTCATTGCCTTTATGCCAAAAGCTACCTGGAACATATCTATAGCTGGAAAAGTTGGGTTTTTATTCATCGTAGTGAGGGAGAACCCACACTATGGAGAATATGGAATGTCTCAGTAAGACAGTGTACCTATTATAGGATTTAGGCTTTGGTTGGGTATTTTTGGGGAGGATCTAAAGAAGCGAGGGCTTGTGCTGGTTCGGGTGCTATCAGAAAGATGTGGCAATTCTGTGATTGGGTATCTCAGTACATCTTGTCTGTAGTGAGGGTAGAGGGAGTGAAATAAAGCTGTAATTGGTAAAGAGGTAGCAGCCATTCAATTCTGCAAGAAAGGAGGTTGTTTGGTATTTTGTGTTGCACAGTGACTTTGTCTGAAATGGATATTCTGTGAAATTGTTTACGGCCAACAGGAGAAAAGCGTGACTTATCTGTGAGCATCATATCAGTTTAGAATAACATTGAGACCTATCTGTGAACATCAGATCAGTTCTGGATGTCAGGAGTTGCTTTTTTTCTTGTAGGTTATTGCACTTCTCCTTACAGTGGCAATGTGCTGCTTCCCTACTTTGGGCTGAATCCTGCTTCAGTTCTTAAGATTATATTTAGTTGTTGAAAAGCTCAGGCTTTCTTATCCTCTAAGGTGCTCAGCAACAGGGTCAGAACTTCCATGGTTACATCTCTTTTTTTAATCTTGCTTCCTAACAGTCTTCGCCTTCCTCTCCCTTCCTGGCTACACTGGGCACACTGCCCAGTTTCTCTTCCTGACCAATAAAAACTCAGCAGAACAGCAAAGCTTGAAGAAAAGAGCTATGCATGCAGTTACAGGAAATGATAATATCTTTAAAAGGTGATCCTGCTTTCTAGATATATTCTTTATAGGGTCATATTATACTAATAAATTCATCACGTTTCTATTTGTTATCACATTGAATCAGAGATCAGATTCACATTAATCAAAATATAATAGTAATTAATTTACAGTACCAAAGACAGTAGTAGATGGCTAGACAGCCTTTGCTTTGGCCAGAATACCTTCTCCAAATTGGCAAGCTATATGGGAAGGCAAAAGTAGGTATAAAAGTGCTTGGTGAACTTAGAGTCGGAACAAGGAAAGTTATTAACTCAAATAAAATATTTAATTGAACCAGGTAAAGAAAAAGATAACCTAAGGCTCTGAGTGCCACAGCAGGCATATACCTGACTTGAGTCAGGATGGACCTTTTTCCTAGAAGCAGCATTTGATAGTCTTTCCATTCATCAGTCTCTTAAACTTGTTTCTTTGCCATATTGGTTAGCGGGATTAAAAATCTTGCCTCTTAATATAGTCAAGATCATCAAAGGGGAAGCATCTCAGGGCTGATGAAAGCTTCCTACTTTCTACTCTAACAGTCCCCCCAAGTGATAACAATGTTACTTTTATACAAATGATCTCATTTTATGGCCACAAGTGCCCTGTAAGATAAACAGAGTAGAAATTCCTACCACCATTTTATAGATGAGCAAGTGGAAGCTTAGAGAATTAACATAACTAATCTAAGTCCATTGAAGTCAGTGCATGAACAAATATTAGACATTAGCTCTTATGACTCAGGGTCTGGAGTGTTTGCACCATCCTATATACTATATGCAAATATTTCAAAGGCTGAGAAGCCATAGAATGCTTATTATCTTCTGGTTTTCCATCAAAAGGTTATAATATTTAACTATTGATGGTGTGTGATGCTTATTCATCCTGCCTACATATTGTTAGACTTCAGTAACACTTCTGTGTTACTTGCACACAGAGCGAGGTGTCACATAGAGGAAGCATAGCTTAGATGTCCTGAAATTACTTAGTGTCATGTTCCTTTGGAATGTGGTGGAACTATCTTGTTAATTGAATCTCTCAGGACTTCCTTTACCTTTTCATTCCTCAAGCTGTAAATGAAGGGGTTAAGAAGAGGGGTCACTACTGTAGTGATGACAGCTGTCACTTTGTCAAAGTCCAGTGAATAGCTCTGGTTGGGCCTCACGTACGTGAAGATGGAGCTGCCGTAGGCAATGGAGATGACAGTGATGTGACTTGCACAGGTGGAAAAGGCTTTCTGACGTCCTTGGGCTGAGGGGATGCACAGGATGGTAGAAATGATGTAGGTATAGGAGATGATGGTGAGCACCAGCGAAGTCAGGACCACAAGGGAAGATAAGAACTTTATCATCTCAATGAAATGAGTATCAATACAGGCCACCTGAAGTAAAGGAGCAATGTCACAGAAGAAACGACTAATTTCTTCAGTGCGGTATGGCAATCTGGACACCACAATAATTGGGCAGAGCACTGACAGGAAGGCCCCCATCCAGCAGCCCAGAACCAGCAGGAAACAGACTCTGCTCTTCATGACTATGGTGTAGCGCAGGGGGTAACAGATGGCCACGTAGCGGTCGAAGGGCATCACTGCCAGGAGGATAAACTCCACTGTCCCCAGAAAGAAGTAGAAATATATTTGGATGATGCAGCGAGCAAAAGATATGGTTTTCTTCTCTCCTAACAGGCAAGCTAGCAACTTTGGGGCAATAGTAGTTGTGAACAAAATGTCCAAAAATGACAGATTACTGAGGAAGAAGTACATCGGTGTTTGGAGACGATTATCGGTCCATATTAAGGAAATGATGACAAAGTTTCCTGTTATGGTGAGCATATAAACCAGCAGAAGAATGACAAACAGCAGGATCTGAAGCTCCTGAACAACGGGAAAGGAGACCAAGGTGAATTCAGTCACAGTGGTCTGGTTTCTCAGGGCTATTTCTGCTTGAGGGGTGAAGAAATAAACAAAGAAAATTAGAACAATTTAAGATATCTTTCAAATTTTCTATGATCTTGCTAAGTATAGAATAGCGAGAACATCCAAGAGGGAGGGGTTCTAGTCCTGTCTGTGACTCTGTTATGTGGCCTTGGGCAAATCAAATTAGCTCACTAGGCCTCAGTTGTCATCTGTATAATTGATAGCTTGGAAAAAAAAAAAAAATCTCTGTGGTCCCTTTAAACTCTAACTTTTTGATTTCTATTAGATTTATATATTTCTTTTCTCTTTATTTCCTTCCTTAAATCCAAATACATTTAAACTAACTGAAGTATATAATTAACTGAAAATTATTCAAGTTATTTTATCATATATTTTAAGCCTTAATGACATGGATATCCTAGCTGATAACCTCACGTCATACTTTATTGAAGGAAGAGAAGCCATTAGACAGAAATTCTATTTTCATTCCTGTATCAAGATTGACTAGCAATCATGATCTGAACGTTCTTAGTAACCTACAATAAGAACTGGATAGGGCACACTCTTTGAGACATTGCTGGTTGCATCAAAAGTTAGGAGAGGTGTCCGGATCCACTTCCTAAACAACACACAAAGAAATCAACATGAGCTGAGCTCAGAGTACTCGGGGCTGAGCCCAAGGCAATTAGGTGTCAGAGCTTCAGTGACTGGTGTTGAAGCAAGAACATCTGGTAGCCAAGGCCAGGACGGCTGGGACTGAATCAGCTGAGACAGAGAATTGGTGAGGGAATGACATAATTGAAGGAGGAGGGAACCAAAGCAGATTTTGCTTATACCAACAGGCATCTGTGAGGAACAGGGTTACCCTGTGATCATATTGTTACAGGGATATTGCTATGGGACAGCCATCACTGGAACATCAGCAAAGCTGGAAAGCGAATCCTGAGACTTTCTCTCTGAACCAAAAATCTTTGAGAGGGTGAAGTGTCCCTGGGTGAGGCATGCCCCTTGGCAAGCAGCAGGAGGAGAAGCAAATCCCTTCCAGAGGAAAAGTTTCCTGTTAGACCCCAATAACTAGTAGATATTAAGAAGCAAAGGCCTTTCAGACAAAGATTTCCAAACACAGCAGCAAGTATATCACTATAAATGAGAGTTGGCAGAAAAAAGAAATAATAGAACAGGAGATTTAGCACAAGGACAACAGACTTTGGAAATGTCAGATTTAGCATATAGTGTACTCAGGTATGAAGTATTTAAAGAAATAAAGGATGCAATTCTAAAAGTGAGAATGCCGCAAAAAAAATCAGGACTTTTAAAAACCAGCAAATTGACTTTTAAAAAGACTCAATGGAACTTACAGAATTAAAAAAAAACATTATTGTTGAAGTAACAACTCAGTTATTTGAGTTGAGTTAGAATAAACAATGGATTAGATATTTAAAACAGAATTAGTAAATAGGAAGATATATCAAAAGAATTTATCTTTAATGAAGCAGAGAGAGATAGATATTGAAAATATGAAAGAGTGTTCAAAGAAATGGAAAAGAGAATGGGAACATTTATGTATGTAGCTTGTGTCCTGAAGGATAGAATAGAGGAAGTGAGGGTGGGACAGTATTTAAAGAGAAATAGATTCAGAACACCAAAGAGAGGATATGAAAAATAGCCAGAGAGAAAGGGTAGATCACTTATAAGGGAAGAGTAGTTAAAACGACTGTTGGCTTCTCAACAGCAGCAAAGGAAGCCAAAAATTAGTTAAGTAATATCTTTAAAGTGTGCTGAGAAAATAACTGCCAATTCATCTGATAAGAGTATCTTCCATTGTAAAATAAATATACTACAGATAAAAACTTCAAGAATTTACTACCAAGGGACAAATTGTAAAGTAGTTTCTAAATAATATGATTCAAAAATAAAGAAAATAATCTTGAGATAGTTTAAAATGTAAAAAGGAATAATAAATAAATAAAATGGTAAACATACATAAATCTAAATAAAAATTCTTTGTAAAAAGAAATAACAGTGTTGAATTAGTGAAGTTAAGCTAGAATTGGCATATGGATGACAATAGGATGTAAATGTGGAGAGGGAAAATTAGAGCTAAAATCTTCTTGTACCATTTGCAAGGGGATGAAATATTTTTTCATTTTAGATTTTGAGTTAAATAAGCCTGATAAAATTTTCTAGGGTACTCAGTAAAGGAATAGAAATATAGTATAATTTCCAACCTTTAGAAAGGAAAAGGTGATATAAGAAAAACAAAATTCAACTGTAACAGAAATGTAAATAAACACCACAGTCAAAATAGTCAGTTAGTTACAAAAAAAAAATATGGAAAAAGAAACAGAAAATGTGGACAAATGAAAATAAAAAATACGATGTAGAAACCAGTTTAAATATATCAATTTTAATAAAGAAAAATGGACTAAATTCCTTAGTTAAAAGACAGATGTTGTAACATTTTACTAAAAAATATTCCATGGGGCCAGCCGGTGGCACAAGTGGTTAAGTGCGCATGCTCCTCTGCGGTGGCCCAGGGTTCACTGGTTGGGATCCTGGGTGCACACTGACGCACCGCTTGTCGAGCTATGCTGTGGCGCTGTCCCATATAAAGTGGAGGAAGATGGGCGTGGATGTTAGCCCAGGGCCAGTCTTCTTCAGCAAAAAAAGAGGAGGATTGGCAGTTGTTAGCTCAGGGCCGATCTTCCTCAAAACACACAAAAATATTCCAGCTGTATTCTATTTACAAGAGACACACACATAAAATCTGAGAACATGAAAAAATTGAAAATAAAAGGATAAAAAACAGATATTTCAGACATATACTAACTCTAAAGAAAGTTAATGTGACTATATTAATAATTGGCAAATAGACATTAAGACAAAAAGCATCATTAGGGCTTGAGAGGGCCACTCTGTGATAAAATATTTTTTAATTCCTCATGAACTTATTACAATTGTAAACACGTATACAGTCATGTGCCACATAACGTTTCAGTCAGTGAAGGACAGCATATGCAACATGATCCTATAAGGTTAGTACAGTATAGCCTAGGTGTGTAGTAGGCTATACCATCTAGGTTTGTGTAAGTGCATGCTATGATGTTCGTACAAGGACGAAATTGCCTAACGACGCATTTCTCAGAAGGTATCCCTGTTGTTAAGTGAGGCGTGACCGTATATCTAATAAACAGCTTCATATAAAGAAAAAAATTATAGAACTATAAGATGCAAGTATCATCATAGAGGAAGATTTCAATAAAACTCTCAAAAAGTCAGGAAACATACAGATAATATGAACAGCGCAGTAAAAAACTTGATATAATGGGCTTTTATGAAATTCTGTATTGAAATAGTGGAGAATATACATCCTTGTCAAACACCCATGAAAGACTTAAAAACGTTAACACATACTATGTCATAAAGTATGCCTCAAAGATTTTCAAGAACTAGGTATCAGGGAACACGTTCTCAGAACCCAACACAATTAATTAATTAATAATAAAATGATATATTAAAAATATCCAGGGGCCGGCCCGGTGGCACAAGCGGTTAAGTGTGCGCGCTCTGCTGCGGCGGCCCGGGGTTCACCACCTCGGATCCAGGGCTCGCACTGCCGCACCACTTGGCAAGCCATGCTGTGGCGGCGTCCCATATAAAGTGGAGGAAGATGGGCACGGATGTTAGCCCAGGGCCAGTCTTCCTCAGCAAAAAGAGGAGGATTGGCAGATGTTAGCACAGGGCTGATCTTCCTCACACACAGACAAAAAAATCCATGTGTTTGGAAATTAAAGAATTCCCTCCCAGATAATTGATGGATCAAAAAGGAAATCACAATGTGAGTGAAAAACAGAACTGAATGGTACATATCAAAGTTTGGGGGTTATAACAAAGCAATTCTGAGTGACTTTTATTGACTTAAAAGTTCATTTCTAAAAGAAGAAAGATTAAAAAGATTTAGTAAAAATTTAAAGAAATAAACCAAGAATGTAGACAAAAGCAGACATAGAGATTAAAGCAGAAATCAATAAAATGGAAAACAAAGATAAAAAAGAGACAATTAATAAAGCCAAAATTGTTTTTCTGAAAAGACTAGTTTCTAGTGGGATTCATCAAGGGACAAAAAAAGAAGAGAAAGGAGGAAAAATTATAATATATTAAGAATGAATAAAAGAATAAGGCAAACATTAAATCATGAGCCTATATCACCAACTATATGCCATCTCATTCGAAAATTGAGAAAAAATGGACAAATTACATTTTTATCACAGTAGACTGAAGGCAATGAAAAGATCTGAATAGTCTTCAAACTATTAAAGGAATTGAAGAAGTAAATACAATTTTCTCATAAAGACAACACAAGGGCCACATGATTTCACAGGGGAGTCTATTGAACTTTTATGGAACAAATTGTTGCAACATATACAAACTCTGAGAAAATTAAAAAAGAGGAGATATTCTCCAACTCATTCAATGAAGTCAGTAATAATATTAACACTAAAATTAGTCAAATACAGGAAAAAAAGGGAAATTACGGGCCCACTTTATTCACAAGTATATGAAATATCCTTCATAAAGAATTAGTGAAGCTTTGGGTCACCTGGTGGTTTACCAGTTAAGTTCGCTTTGCTTTGCTTCATGGCCCGGGGTTCACAGGCTCCGATCCCGGGCGCGGATCCACACACTGCTTGTCATGCCGTGCTGTAGTGGCGTCCCACATAAAGTAGAGGAAGATGGGCACAGATGTTAGCCCAGGGCCAATCTTTCTCAGCAAAAAGAAGAGGATTGGCAACAGATGTTAGCTCAGGGCTAATCTTCCTCACACACACACAAAAATAATAAAGATAAAAACAAATGAATAAATAAAAATAAGAATTAGCAAACCCAAATCACAGTGTGTATGTGTTTATCCCAGGGATGCAAGGATGCTTTAACATCAAAATTTCTATAAATACTTTGTCACATTGATAGATTCAAGGATAAAACACATTAGCATCTCAATTGACAGATAAAGTATTTAATAACT